ATTCCTTCTATTCTTGGCTGCATAGGTTTTATTCATACAAGAAAATTTTAATTTGAAATAATCAAAATTATCCGTTTTGCACTTCAACAATGCTCTCACCTTATAATATGCTTTAAGGTAGGGGTAGGGAAGCTGCTGCCTCGAGATCACATGTGGCCTTCTAGGTCCTCAAATGCAGCCCTTTGACTGAATCCAAACTTCACAGAACAAATTTCCTTAACAAAAGGATTTGTTCTGTAAAACTTGGACTCGATCAGAAGGTTGAATCCAAAGACCTAGGAGGCCACATGTGGCCTCAAGGTTTAAGGTCTGATACTACAGAATCTGCTTCCTCTACATCTTTCCCCCCTGGTTCCTTTGAAGTTCCTGACCTTTTGTTCTTCTAAATGAATTTTGTTATTATTTTTTCTAATTCAGTAAGATAATTTATTAGTAATTGAATTGGAATGACATTACAGAAATAGATTAGTTATATAAAATTGTCATCTTTTTATTACATTGGCTTTACCTACCCATGAACAATAAATATTACTTTAATTATTTAGATCTAACTTTGGTTGTATAAAAAGTGCTTTATATTTATATTCGTATACTTCCTGTGTCTGTTTGGCAGGTACACTCTCAGGTATTTTATACTGTCTAGCTATTTTAAATGGACTCTAAAACAATATTGAATAATATGGCTGACATATAGTGTAGTTTCCCTATTTTTCTCTTTCGATTGAATCTATTTTAGCTTTAACTTTGTCGGAAATCATGACTAATCCTGCTTTTTTCATGTAATAAATTCTACTCCTGACTTTTATTTCATGTTTATGTGTATCTGTAATTTTTATAGCATTTCCTGAAAGCAACATGTTGTTGAATTCAAATTTTTAATCTATCAGTTTCCTTTTTATTGATAAATTCATCCCACTCACATTCGAAACTATAATTATTTGTATATTTTCCTCCATCCTATTTTTCCTCACTATTGTTCTCACATTATTTCCATCCCTTACTCCTCTGCTTTACTTCTAACTTCTGTCTTTCCCCCTTAACTTACCTACTCACCCCTCCAAGAATCCCTCCCTTATCGTCTCCCTCCACCCTATCCCCTTGCCCTCTTATTTCTTTATGAATTTAGAAGACTTTTATGCCCTTCTAGATATATATGTTGCTCCCTCTTTAACCCATTCCCAATGAGAGTAAGGTTTCAACACTATCCACCCTCTCCACTAGCTTCTTCTATATCAATTTTTTTCCCTTTTTGCCTCATTTGCACAAGATAACTAATCCTTTTTATCTCTCCCTACACTTTTTTTCAGAATCACCCCATTGTACTCAGCTCAGACTAAGCCTTTCTTTCAAACTACCCAAATAAAAATGATAGTCATAGAACTGATAATATTTTCATATATAAGAAGTAAACAATTTGACCTTATTGAGTCCCTTATAATTGGTTCTTAATATTTACTTTATATTTCTCTTGGATGTTATATGTTGAATTTTCCCTTAAGTTCTGCTGTTTTTGTCACAAATACCCTTTTAAAGTTTTTCAGTTCGTTAAATATCCTTTTTTTTTCCATTAAGGATTATACTTAACTTTGCTGGGTAAATTACCCTTGGTTGTAACCCCAGCTCTTTTGCTCTGTGAAATACAGTATTTCAAGACGTACAGTCCTTCAACGTAGTAGCTGCTAGGTCTTGTGTAATCCTTATTGTAAGTCCAAGATATGTAAATTGTTTTTGTTTTTTTTCTTTTTGCTTACAATATTTTCTCCTTAACGTGGGAGCTTTGAAACTTGGCTATGATATTGCTGTAAGTTTTCTTCCTGGGAATCTCTTTCAGGGGTTCTAATAGTATCTTGCTTTACAAACATTAGCTCATTTAATCTTCATAATGACCCCATGAGGTAGTTACTATTGTTATTCCCATTTAACAATTGAGGAAACTGAGGCAGACAAGAGGTTATGACTTGCTGAAGGTCATACAACTAGTAAGGGGCTGTGGCCTGATTTGAACTCAGGCTTCCTTGAATCAGGTCTCTCCCTACTCCAATCCATTGTCCATTCAGTTACCAAGGTGATTTTTCTAAAATGTAGGTCTGAACATATTATCCCCACTCAGTGATCTCCAATGGCTCTCTGCTACCTCCAGTATAAAATATAAAGTCCCATTTAGCCTTTAAAGCTCTTTATAACATGGCCCCTTCACCTCTCTCCAGGCTTCTTAGTTCTTATTCCTTTTTCAACACTCTGTAGTTCTTAACATGTCACTCCTTCTGACTCCATGTCTTTGCACTACCTGTCCTCCATGACTAGGGCACTCTGCCTCTTCACCTACAGCTTAGTTTCTCTGGCTTCCTTCAAGATTCATCTCAAATCCCACCTTCTGCAGGAGACATTTCCCAGTCCCGCCAGCTCCTAATGCATTCCCTACCAAGTTATTTACATGTTGACTTCTCCATAGAATGTATGCTCTTTGAGGGCAGGAACTATTTCTTGCCTTTTTTAGTGTCCCCCTGGTTTACCATCTCCTGGGCACATAATAAGAACTTAATAATTGATGAGGGATACAAATAAAAAAGCCAAAAAACAATTCCTGCCCTCCATGAGATTACATTCTAAATAGGAGAGGCAGTGCATATAGGGAAGTGATCTAACAAGAAGAGGCATTTTGGATTGGAAAGTTACAGGAATAATTAATAGAGCCATAGGGGAGCAGATTGATACACCTTCCAGTAACAATGGCAGTGCTGATTGGATTATGGTTCCAGGAATCATAATCCTTTTTCCATATTAGATCATGATAGATCATAGATTTAGAGGTAGAAGAGACCATCTCATACAACCCCTTCATTTTACAGATTACTTTGCACAGTCTCCCCTCCTCCCCCTTCCCATCCCCAACTGGAATACTCTCCCCTATCAGCTATACTTTTTGGAATTCCTTACTCCCTTCAAGCTCTTACAAGAAGGCTTTGCTGCTATACCAAGTTGTTAGCTTCCTCCTTTCTTGAAATCAGTTTTTATTTATTATGTGTGTATGTATGTATGTACTTGCTTACCTATATACAAGTGGTACCTTCTACCCCAAAAGAATGTAAACTCTTCAAGGGCAGTCTCCTTTTTGTCTTTATTCCTAGAGGCTAGCATAGTCCCCTACACACAATAGGTGTTTTAATAAATGCTCAATGATCTTAGAAAAACATGGAAATGTTACAGTTTGTGGTGCTGGAAACCCCAAAATGCAAAGGTACAGGGCAGGTCTGCCTGAAAGAATTCGACCACTCAAGCCTTCTTTCAGTCAGAGTAATGAGATTTTATTATAACACCAGTTAGGCAGGCAAGAGTTTTAGTAAATCTGCCCTAAAGTGATGCCAACAGAAGTGGGCAAGATTCCTAGTGAGTCTGTGCAACTTAATGGGGGTAAGACTGAAACTTATATACAAGAAAAGACAGTGAGAAGATCTGGATGGGATTAAGGAGTGGCAAGTAGCCTGGGGTGGGCCAGGTGCAAACAACGAAAAGAGTTAAGTGGTAGGGCCACAATGAAAGGACAGTTAAAAGGTTTAATGAGTATCTAGGTAGACTGGGATGGGCTGGATGTCTCAGGCAAAACACCAGGGACAGGGTTGCTGAAATTTGTGGGAAAGTTCAGGGGCTTTTAGGGGTCCAGGTGCCAAAGACATGGTCTTTTCCTTTCAGGGTTCCTATTGCCCCATCAGAAAGACTTGCATGAAATAATGAAGAGAGAAATAAACAGAACCAAGAGAATGCTGTATACAACAACAGCAATATTATTTTAACAACACCTTTGAGCAAGTAAGTCATTTGGACTATTATAAATACCCAAATTAACTACAAAGGACATATAAAGGAAGATGCTATCTGCATCCAGAGAAAGAACTGATAAATAGAAGTATGTATAGAAGGATTTTACATTTTATACACACACACACACACACACATATTTGTGCCTAATGGTAGGCATCTAGGGGAGAGGGGAAAGGGAAGAAAAAAAGAAATTTACATGATAACTTTATTATGTATTTAAAATGGATAGCAGGTATAATAGATAACATAATAGATGTGCAGTTTGGTATGTAATCATCTTTTTTTAATTATACTGTTATGGAAATGGTTGTTTTAGTCCATAACTTAAAAATAAATTTAAAAAAATAAAATAAATGCTTGTGGAATCTAATTGAATTGATTCCAAAGCTCTTGTGCTTTTCCTTTATACCACATTGCCTCTGAATTTCATCTCCCTCTCACTCCAGCTCTTAGCACAGTGCTCTGCACACAACAGGTGCTTTAAAAAGTTTGTTGAATGAATGAATAAATGGTGTTCAATGAACGAAGAGACTGGTTTATGTTGGTGGGGAAATTGAGAAAAATAATTTTTTTTTAGCAGAAAAATACAGGAGTGATTTTGCCTCATTCCTCCTCTCGCCCCGCCCCCACTTCTCTTTGCCACTTATGTCTCTCTAACCATGAAAACCCCAACTATATCCAGTGTGGTGTACCCTGGGTCCCAGCAACATGCTCCAGTATAGAAGGGCACTCGGACGGTCCTAGCTTATAGACTAAGCAAATTTAGTAGAGAACTAGCCTTCCGAACCCATCCAAAAGGGTTAGCAGAGAACTATAGAAATGCTAAACAGTAACAGATCTCCCAGCGGAACACAATGTGGCATTAATTGTTTGTGTTCTTCGCGGTCCCTGCCCGAGACCATCCCCCCCCCCACTCCTCCTTCCAGCCGGCTTCCCTTTAAACCCGACTCTCCCAGATGCCAAGAGAAGGTAAATGAGGAAGGGGGTGGGGGAGAGCAAACTACTACTCCCCCTAAGAAATTAGGATCCGCCCGCTAATAGAAGCGGAGAAGAGGAAGGGCAGGAATGGAGAGAAGGAAGAAAGTGGGATCCCATTGGCTGGAAGGGGGTGTGACGAAGGGAAGGGGGCGGAGATTTCCCGGAGTGATAGGGGAGGGGTAGAACTAGGAGGAGTGGGAGGGGAAAGCAACCCCAGTTCAGTTTCTGGTGCTGTGCTTCAGGGCCCCCTGAGAGTGGGACAGGATCCCAGAGAACGAGGTTCTGGGCCGGCCTCTTTCCTTGCTCTGTTGGCTGGCGGGAGGAAGCGCTCGCCAGCTGGACGCCCCCTCCCCCTCTTCTGCCTCGCTGCCACCCCCACTCCGGCTGGAATCCAGCTCTTGCATTTTCAACTGTTGGGTTTAGCTCTTGGGGACTTTTTTGTGTTTGTATATTTCTTCTTCATTCTCCTTTGTTACTCCGAAAACCCTTCCAGAACTGGAGGGAGGGACGACTCGGTTCTCATGGGAGGCAGCTGCCGCTAAGTACCCCTTCCTCAGCCCTGAAAGTACTCGAGGAAAAAAAAAAGGCTCCCCCTACTCCCCACTCCGACCCGTTGCCTGCTTTCTCTCCGCTGTAGCCAGTTGCTACAGCTCGGGCTTCATTGATGCTTAACGGTGAGTAGCAGGGGGTGGGCATTGGGGTGAAGGGGAAAGCGCCGCAAGTCACCTATCTGCAGAGACCCTGAAGGGAGTTACAAGGATTAAAGATTAAACCCGCGATTCTCCTGGGTGTTCCTCTTTCTCCTTTCTCCCCCCGCCCCAAATCTGGGCCAAGTTTTCTAGGGGCACAGGAAGGAACAGAAATACACCCAGCAAGACGAACCCTGTCTGCCCCACCAGCCCTTGAGATCGGGGGAGATCCCTGGCTTCCCTGAGATCTATGAGAGGGTCTGAGCCCACCTCAACCTAAATGTGAGCCCGAGTGGAAGGTCTACGACCTGAGCAGAGCCCCGGCTTTGTTTCCCTGCTTCCCTCCCCAGTCCCCTTCCCCCTGCCTTTGTGCTCTCCAACTGTCCTTTGTTGTGGTTGTCGGGAGAGTTAAATCCAAGCATGGGCTGGGATTCTTCCTAGAGGGAGCTCAAGTTCTTGGCAAGAAACTTTGTTGGCAATTTAAAAATATGTACAGTATACATATGTTGCTGTAGGACAGACTCTCGCCCCTTTCTTTGTTGGAGCACCTTTGCTACCTTGCTTCCTGCTTGGAATATCTAGAGAAGATGCCTACCAACGATCGTTCGAGCTTCTTGGACGAGTATGGCATTTCATTAGTTTGCCTCAAGCAGATTAAGGATAGTTTCTGTGTTGTCTTCTGGATGGAGCCCCCAGCTTAAACCCAGGGCCAAAGTAATTTTTTCCTGGCTTCTTTGCTCCCCCTGAGATCATTCATTTCAAATCTGTGAGAGTCACCAAGTTCCTTGCAGATGAAGTTTTGTTTTGTTTTAACTTAGAAGGCAGTGTGAGAGCTAGGGTTGTCTTTTTAATAAGGAAGCAGCAGCTTTCTTAGCAGACCAATATAAACGGCTGAAATAAAAGTAGGAAGAGCATTTATATATCTCCTTGAGGTTTGCAAAACCTTTTAAATATGTTGTCTCACTTGATCTTCCCTATACTGTGGTGAGTGCTATTATCCAGATGAAGAAATTGAGGCAAACTGAGGCTTAGTGACTTGCCCAGTCACAATTAATGGCTGTGTAAACCTGGATTTGAACTTAGGCCTTTCTGTTTCCAAGTCCAATGCCCTATCCACTCACTGTCCCACCTACCTGATACTTGAAAGACCATGGTTAAAAACCAACAGATTTCCATTCTTCTGAGTATTGCTGGATGGGTGGCTAGTGAAGAGAATATTTCCTTAGGTTCCTGCCAGATCTTGGATTAATGATTTCAAGAAGGTTTTGTTTTAAAGTTAGGATGAGGGAATGGTGTCCGTGTCCCTTCTCCATTCTTCTTCTCCCTCTTCCCCATCCCAATCTACTTCTCAGAAAATTAAGCAAACTATGATGGAAGAATGGAGCAGCACTAGATACTGCCCAGAAATCCGGACTAAAGAAGATCAGCCTTTACCAGTTTCCCTTCGCTCCCTTTTTGGCCCATCTTCATGACACCATCCCCTCTTGCTCTGCCTCGGGAAGCTGAGACACTCAAAATCTCTAGGATCCTACTAGGAAAGCCCCTCCAAGCCATAGGTAGTTGGGGATTCAACAGAACAAAGCCTGCTGGGAAAGAAGTCAACTCTGTTGTAATCATGATCTTTTGGTCTCCTTTCTGGAGTTCTTAGCCTCATTTCCCTCTGAGGGTTTGGACTCCCAAGGGTTCACTTCTTAAACTTCTCAGTTCTTAAAATGACCAAAGGAACCAGCTCCGTGTATGTCAGAATGAGGTAATTCATCTTGTGTTGTATAAAACATCTGAGGCCCTCTACTTCCTGTTTTCTGGGCCCGGAAGACAAAGTGTTCATCTAGGCCTTTGTTCCTGGACAATAGTTTTCATTCAATTAAATTCAGAAAACTTTAAGCACCTACTGAATGCAGAGGAGATACAATGTGGGAGGAGAGACCGTGGGCCCTTCCCTCTAGGAATTTACCACCTAGGAGTTAGGGTGGAGGAAGATATAGACCCTGCCTGCCCTGAAGGAACTGACAGGTGAATATACCGGTTAGGACAATACTGGTTTGAATGTGTTAGGGATCAAAGATTGAAACAGATGTAGTGCACTAACAAAAAAGTGAGCCTTTCAGGTGTGGAATCCCAGAAGGCTTTCTAGAGACACCTGAGCAGGATCCTGAATGAAGAGACACAGTTGACCACCAAACTCTTCTCAATCCCCCAAACTCCAGCCTTAAGGGGAACAACTCACCTCCAAACTATAAGGGTGGACTGAAGCACTCTGGGGCCATTGAGTCTGTAGATTCTATCCCCACTAGAAAGCAGTAACAAACCACTCACTATCCATGCTCCAAGAGAGGTATATGGAGAAGAAAACAAGATCTCCACCGACAAGTTGGAAGGTTCTTGCAGATGATAGGATTTGGCTCACAAAGTAGGCAATGGAAAAAAATAAATAAATAAATAAAAGTAGGCAATGGAGAAGGAAGTGGTAAAGGACTTAAGTTCCCAGAGGTCTTTTTTCCAAATGATATGTCAGTTCTACTTTCTTTCTATCCCACTCTCCTCTTGAACTTAACCTTTGCTATCTCTTTAAAGATACATGCATTCAGAGTCCCAAAGTCTTAATTCTTGAAGGCTTCTTATTATTTGTATGTCCTTGGGCAAGCAACTTAACCTCCCTTGGACCTCAATTTCTTCATCTATTAAATGAGGAGAGTTGAACCATGTAGTCTCTGGGGTCCCGTCTATCTCTAACAGAGGTTCCCAAACTTATTTAGCCTACCACCTCTTTTTTAAAAAAATTACTCAGCACACCCCTGGAAATCTACTTTCTTTAACCCTTTAACAGTTGTTTTTTTTTTTAATTTTCATCATTTCAAAAAAATACCACCCCTCTGGATCGTTCCAGCGCCCACTTTGGGAACCTATGCCTAAAACTATAAGGTTTCTGTTTCCTCCAGTTGACCTACCTGCCTCCGCTTCTATTAGGGGGAGAAGAATTTGGGTCAGTCCTAGACATCAGTTAATAGAGTATAGTTATTACTAAAAAGACCTCATCCTTTTGGTTATAAGTTTTATGTTGACCTCATTTCTGTAAGAACCCTGAGCAGTGTTATAGCAAGATGTATCTATTAGGGGCAACTAGATGGCGTAGTGGTTAGAGCACTGACCCTGGATTCAGGAGGACTTGAGTTCAAATGCAGCCTCAGACACATAACACTTACTAGCTGTGTGACCCTGGGTGAGTCACTTAACACCATTGCCTGGTCAAAAAATAAAAAAAAAGATGTATCTGTTGTTCTAAGGTTTCTAATGAAAGCTTCCCCTCACCTCTGCCAGGGATAGATGCAGAGAGATGAAATAAAATCAACAACCTCTCCTCATAAAGCAGGTGCTAGCAGGCCACTTTTTTTCTTAGAATATCCCCTCAATCATTCCACCAAGAAGCATTTATATACCAGGCACTCTCAACAAACCAAAAAACCCTAGAACTTTTCATCTGATCCTTGCTCGTCCAATATAATACACCGGCTTTTCTATGTCTGCCATAATGGTCAAATATTAGCTCCTTAAAGGCAGGGATTATTTTATTTTATTGTCTTAGCCCAGTGCCTGACTAGGCAGCATGACCTAGCAAACAGGGAGCTCATCTTGCAGTCACAAAGAGCTAGGTTCAAGTCCTGTGTCTGATTTGTGACCATGGGATAGTTACTTCAATGCCCCAGCAAATTCTCAAAAAATAAGTCGCAGACCAATTTCCTATCTGTGGTCAAGGGAATTTCCACATTAGAAGTTTTGTTCATTGAAATAATAGGTCTAAATTTTGGCACCCTTTTCCCCTCCAAAAACAAAAGAAACAATCCTATAGTGTCTGGCACGTAGGATCTGAGATTTAGAGCTGGAAGGAACCTTAGAGAATAGTGAGTACACATACACACACACACACACACACACACACACACACTCTCTCATTTTATAGATGAAGAAACTGAGGCACAGAGAGATTAAGTGACTTGTCCTGGGTCACAGCTGGTAAGTATCTGAAGTAGAATTTGAATCCAGGTCTTCCTCACTCCAGCCACAATTCCACTGGGTCATCATTGTCATGGTGGTGTCATTTCAGGGGAGTCCCACTCCTGGTAAAGATACTGGAATTTCCTTCTCCAGGTCATTTCACTGATGAGGAAACTGAGGCAAACAAGGTTAAGTGACTTGCCCAGGGTCATGAAGCTAGTAAATGTCTGAGGCCAGATTTGAACTCAGGAAGATAGTTCCTAACCCCAGGCATGGCACTCTATCCACTGCCCTACCTAGCTGCCCAAATTATACCTAGCAAAGGATGCCTCTACATATCAGACACTTAACAAATGCTTATCGAATTAAATTGAATTGCCTCCCCAGATGGAAATTTTCAGCTTCTCCACCTTTCCTCTTCCTTTGTCTCCCTGTATGAGACATCTGTCCCATCCGTTAGGGAGAGTGAGGAAAGGTTTACCAGGTGTCCATGGGGACCTGTGGAAAGAAGTTAATACAAGTCAAAATCAAGAGATGATCATGAGTTAATCCAAATAGCTATGACTTCACTCTCATCATGCATATTCCCCCAGTGGTCTGGTGTCTAATCCTGAATTAGTCTATGATCTGGAATGGGTTATCTAACCAGCTTTGGTTTTCTTTTTTATCCTTACCTGGCTGGCAGTGTTACAATCCTTCCTGGAAGCATTGGGATATCTTGGAGGAAAGCTCTCATTAGGGGTCCCTGGAAGTCCTTTAATTCTGATTTGTTAAGGATAAATGTGCTTAAGTGATCAATCGGTGACTGGAGTATTTCCTCATACAATCTTGTAAGGTGGATAATGCAAGTATTATTTCCATTTTGTGGATGAAACTGAGTAGCCCAGAGAGGTGATCTACCTTGCCCACAGTAATACAGTTAGTTTTTTATTTGCCTGTGGTCATATGGTTAGTTTAAGAGCTCAGCCTTCCTCATATGGCTAGTTTTAGGGCCAAGACTTGGACCCAGGTCTTCTGACCAAGGCCAATATAAACAATGCAAGGAAAAACTTCCTGGCTTCCTTCAAGTCCCAGCTAAAGCCTCCCTTAAAGCCTTACTTTCTACAATAAGCCTTTCCTGATCCCCCTTAATGCTAGGACCTTCCCTCTGTGATTATTTATGATTTATCCTCTATATATCTTGTTTAGACATAGTTGTCCAGTATCTTCCCACCTAGGGGAGGGTAGGTGGCTTAGTGAGTAGAATTCTGGACCTGGAGGCAGGATGACCCAAGTTCAAATACAGCTTCACACACTTACAAGTAGTGTGACCCTTGGAAAGTCATTTAACCTCTGCCTGTCTCAGTTTCCTCAACTGTATAATAAAAGTATAGCAATTGCCTCCCAGGGTTGTTATTGGGATCAAATGAGATAACATTTGTAAAGCACCTAGCACACAGCAGGCTGTTAATAAATTCTTGTTTCCTTTCCCCCCATTAAACTGAGAGTTCCTTGACAGTAGGGATTTTCTTTTGCTTTTCTTTGTAGCCCCAGAATTTACCAGTGTCTGACATATAATAGACTTGGAATTAATGCTTGTTGTTCAACTGAGTAATGGTAAGAGTTATCCAAAAGTAGAAATGGGCTCCTTTGGGAGGTTGTGGGTTCCCCTACCCTGGAGGTCTTTGGGCAAAGGCTCAATGTCTGCTTTGGGGTGTTTCATAGATGGGGTTCTTTCCAGTTATGAATTGGACTAGATCAAGGCTTCTTAACTTTTGAGGGTTGTGAACCCTTTGACAGTTTGGTGAATACTATAGACCCCTAAGAATATTATTTGTTGCCTATGTTCACAATGAAAGAAATGGTAAACTGCAGTTAGAGGTTAGTGAAAAGATTTTTTTCCCATCCAAATTTGTGGACTCCTTGAAATCTATGCACAGATCTGTCCACAAACCCCATGTTAAGAACCCTAGTCTCTTTTTTATTCCATACTCCATATTCTTCTATTATACCACCTGCTGTAACAAAGTGAAGAGCCAATCCAGGCTATCCATCAAGTCTGTTGTTCAGTCATTTTCAGGCCTGTCCCACTCTTTGTGCCTTCATCTGGAGTTTTCTTGGCAAAGATACTGGAGTGGTTTGCCAATTCCTTCTCCAGTTCATTTTACAGATGAGGAAACTGAGGCCAAGAAGGTTAAGTGACTTGCCTAGGATCCCATGGCTAGTAAGTGTCTGAGGCCAGATTTGAATTCAGGTCCTCCTGACTCTAGGGTCAGCACTCTATCCACTGCACCACCTAGCTGCCCCAGATCCATTCAGTCAGATAGCTTCAACATCCTTTTCTAACCAACCTTTGGCCGGACCAGCTAGCCAAGAGAACAATCTAATAATGGTAATAACTAATATGTATATAGGTTTGCCATTGCTTTACATATTTCTTACCTCCTTTGATCCTGACTGGAGATTCCCCTGCTTCTCTCTGCCTGCCAAGGGTACCACTGAGTCCCATGAATTCTATGGTCATGCTCTTTAAGTTCCAACTATGACATTATCTCATTCTCTCTTTCCAGGATGTGCCTGTGGCCTGGGATTGATCTACAACAACAGGTCGTGCACAATGCCCCCCATCAGTTTCCAGGACCTTCCCCTCAACATCTACATGGTCATCTTTGGCACAGGCATCTTTGTCTTTGTGCTCAGCCTCATCTTCTGCTGCTACTTTATCAGGTGAGTGGAGTAAAGAATAGGAGAAGGCAGTTTCATTGGAGGGCTTGGGGAAGCCCCTCTTCAAGATTCAGGGACTTGGGCTATGTGTGTTTCCCTGATGCTGAGGCTTCGCCTGTTCTGTCATCTGTAGTTTCTTCGACCTCTCTTGCTCTGCTTACCTGGCCCTGTCACGTTATTTCAGGGGGTTCAGGAGGTCACACCACAGCTTGTCTGCTTCCTGACTCCTGGGTTATTGTTCTAGGGGTACCAGACTCTGGCTTGTTGTGATGATGTTAATGACACCCTAAGAAATACCCATCTCCCTTTTCCCTCCTCCCATTCCCTCAGAGGGTGACAGGAGGCAGATGGGCATTAGTCACACCAATGGTACCTCCCCCTGTACTCCTGAGAAATCCCTTCCCTTTCACCATTGGTCCAGGGGCTAATTTTAGCAGGAAGATGTCTGGGGAGCATCTTGTTTATGCCTCCTTCCGAGCCCTTATTTTTGAGAGAAAAACCAAGAACACCACTTGTTTCCTATTGCTCTAGGAACCAGGAGAGCATGTGAGGTTGTCAGGACCCAGAGGCCCAGGAATCCCTTTTCATTGAGCTGTAGGATTGGAGGGAGAGACCATACCTAGTTTCTCAAAGGGTCTTCTCTAGGAATAACCTGCACATGGGGATGGACATCAGAACAAAGCATGTGTGCTGCCTGCTGGGATTGAAGCCAGTCTCTACTCAGATGCTCCAGAGAAGTCATGGGCACTGGGAAAGATAGGAGGGGCAGTAAGATAAGAACTGCAGAAGAAGAGACTAAGGACCCAGGATAGCTAAGAAGTAGTGGACACATGCAAATTTAGTATTTGAGACCTGGGTTTGAATTCCAGTTCCGTTACTAGCTGACATTTTGTAAAATTATTTAATTTCCATATACCTATTTCTTCATCTCTATTGAGGGATTTGGCCCAGGCAATTGCTAAAATTCCTTCTGCCCCTAAATTCTATGAATTTAGATTCCTAAATAGGCTTTTGGACACCTCAGATGGAAGAGGCTGCTGAGAAAGGTACATAAGTCACTGACCGAGAGAGAGAGACAGAGAGAGAGAGAGGAAGTATCCTTGCAGCCTGTACTATCTGCCACAGATCTGACATTACTTCTTTGCCATCCTCTTAACTTGTAACTTTTCACATGCATGTCCCTAAGCCTGAAATTTTCTAGTTTAGGGTTTCTGCAGACAAGATCATGAAATCATAGAGATGGAAGGTACCTTGGAAATCATTTTGTCCAGCCCCTCTCAAAGTGCAGAGGAAGAGAAAGGTCCAGAAAGGAAAATTGACTTGTCCTGGGTCACACAGCTAGTTAAGTACTCAAACCAGGACAACAATCCAGGTCAAGACAGTGGTTTCTTCTTTCCTCTTGTACTATTTATTTGATCCCAGTCATTTGGGAGGGGGAGACTGAAGAAGAAAAAAGAAAGAATAACATCTGTCTTACTTCTTCACAAGTGGCTCTTTTTCTGTCCCAACCCACAGTTTGTCTCTGTAAAAAAGAGATAGGAACACCCTGCTCTGCTGCCCACCTCCTAACTACGAGCATTCTGAGGAGGAAAGATCATCTCAGGGAAGTCCCCAGAGAGAGAGAGAGACGAGCTAGAGAAATACCACAGATGATTTATTTATCATGGGGCCTAGTGGACTCTGTGAAAACCAACTCTGTTCATGCTTCTGCCTCCCACCCCACCCCCACTCTGAACTGTAACTAGTAGGGTAGACTAGAGAATGGAGCCACTGGCACAATATCCTGGAAAGAACATTAGCCTAGGGAGTCAAGAGATTTGTGTTATAGGCCTGGCTCTGACACTATCTAAAATGGGAGACCCTGGGAGTCATACTTCTGCCCTGGGCCTTGGTTTCATCCTCTCAAATGAAGGGTTTAGACTAGAAGATTTCTAAGAGAAAGTGGTAGTGTGATGTAGGGGACTGAGTGCTGCATTTGGACTCAAGGCCCAAGTTCAAATCCTGTCTCTGACTACTTATCACCTCTGGTAATAAGTAATTAAGTGCAAGTCACTTGATCTTCTTGGGCTTTGGTTTCCTCAACTGCAAAATGAGGCAGTTGACCTATGACCGCCAAGGTTCCTTCTAGCTTTGGCTCTTTGATGCTGGAGAGACTTTTTTTTATCCGCCAAATCCTATAATCCTCTTCTTTCCCTTTCCCATCTCCTCCCTAAACCCTCTCCCCTCATGAGGCAGTGGAGTAGTTGGTTTGGGTGGAAGATGGGCTTGAAGGACCCAGGAGTACCCAGCAGTGCCTTAGGCAGGCCTGTGACTGAGGGTTGGCATTAACAAGGCACAGAGGGGAGCCTGGGAGAACCATGTGTCGCTGGCATTTGTCTTCACCATTTACTGCTTTGGCTAAATGTAAAAGAACAGCTGACTAGCCACAGGACGCCAAAACCTGCCCAGTCCTCAGTGACATTAATACCACCTGTCCCTGAAGCAGCAACCTTCCCAAATGCTCATCCCTGTTCCCCTGACAGCATAGCTGCCATTGGTGTTGGGTGGTTCTGGGGTCTGTGTGTGAGAGAGACAGACAGACAGACAGAAAGAAGAACAGAGACAGGCAGAGAGAAGGAAGGGAGAGGGGGGAAGAAAAAGAGAAGGAGAAGGGAGAGAGGGAGTGGGGGAGAAATGGAGAGATGGAGAGATTGTGTCTGTATGACTGTGGTATTTTATGTGTCTCTTTGTATATGTGTGGGAGAATGGTGGCTTGTGCGTATGTGTATATATATGTGTGTACGGGAGAGAGAGTGGTACTTTATGTGTTTCTATGTCTATATATAGAAAGAGACTAGGCATAGAAGCCACTTCCTTTCCAGCTTCTCAGCTTCCTTCTCAGCCAAAATGGGACCATGACCGCCTACCCCTAAACTGATGAGCTCATCAACACACAAGAAGTCCTTCTCTGGTTCCCCTTCTTCCCTTTCTTTCCCTGGCTCATTCTTCTGGCTTCCCTGAGGGCCTGCCTGCCTCTGCTCCCCAAGCAGGATGAGGGGGACATCAAGGCAGGAAGTGGCAGGAAGGGGACAATTATGGGGGTGGGGGACCGGCCTTATTGTTTCTGTGGGAGGAGAGGAGCCTGCTGACTGTATTTTTAAATGGTCCCATTGAAACCAGAGGTATTTTTAGATGCCGTGCTCATCCGACAGCTGAGAGGGCCACCTGCCCAAAGCTGCTGGCACTACATTCCCAGTTTGGTACCCTGCTGCCCTCGTTCATCCTGTCCTTCCCCCTCGCCGTCCCCTAGCTGAACCCTTCCCAGAGTAGAGCCTGCTTCCTTCCATTCCAGCCAGCAAGCAACCTCCCCCACATTCTGAGAGGTAGGATTTATCCTGTTCTCCCCTAGTGGCAGCAGAGGGTAAGGGCTAGAGGGGCTCTAACAGTTGCCTTGAGCCCAAACTTTCACAGAGCAAAAGACAAATGAAAGATGCGTACTGAAAGAGCCAATCCTCAAATCCTGAGACTGGGGGTCTAACAAGCTGCAGGTAGCCAGGGCTTCCCACAGCCTCTCAAACTACCTGGTGGAAGTACTGTGGCTGTTGGCTGGCTGATTGCATTTCCCGTCCCTCCCAACTTTGGCTGGCAGAGTGGGCTTTGCCATGCCTTCTACCATCTTCCCCTCCTCACTCCTGCCTTGCTGAGTTCCCCCCTTATCCTTGTCCTGGGCCTCTTCAACAGTTTGAGCAGTTGTGGGAGTGGAAAACTGACTCTGCTTCCTTAGGAATCACCAGATAAATAACCGCTAGATAACCTAGTAACTCTCTCCCTCCCCTGTTTCTTTCTTTCCCCAGCAAACTCAGGCACCAGGCACAGAGTGAGCGGTACGGATATAAAGAGGTAATATGAGCTTTCTCTACAACATGCATACGCCCCAAAACCTTTGTCCTCACATCACTTTTGCTTATAAGATTAGTACCCAAAGTGAACATAAAAGGAGGCAGACTCTGGAGGCAAAGGACTTGGATTCAAATCCTACCTTTGATGCTGATTTCCTGTGTGACTGTGGACAGGTCACTTAACCTCCCTAGACCTCAGTTTCCTTACCTGTAAAATGAGAGGCTTAGATGAAATAGCCTCTAACATCCCTTTCAGATTTAGGTCAAGAATCCTATGGACAAAACTTGAAATCTCCACAGTCTATCACACTTATGGCTTGCTCTTAGGCAGCCTTGGTGTACCCTGGAGGTGAAATTCCCCTTTAGCCATTTCCATCTGCCCCAGACATGAGAACCTTGGAACTGAAGCCATTACCTGTTGATGAGAGGGAGAGGCAAAGGGATTCTACTGTCTGGGAGCACAGCCCCTTTCAGAGGACCACTTTCCCCATCTGTATCTTCATGGAACCCTGTGATTTCATCATCAACAAGCATTTATTATGCACCCTACTATGTGTTCAGGCACTATGTTAAGTGCTTGGGATACAAATAAAGGCAAACACAGTCTGTGCCCTGAAAGAGCTCATGTTCTAATGGGAAGACAACATCAAACAGCTGTGTGCAAACAATACATAGAGTGTAAAGGGGAGATCATCTCAGAGGAAAGGTACTAGAATAGGGGCAGGGGAACAGGATTGGGAGAGGGCTTTTGCAGTAGGTAGGATATGAGCCAAGTCTCAGCCAGGAGACCAAAATGAGGGGGGAGGGCATTCCATGCCTGGGAGACTGTCTGTGAAAAGACCAATTTTGGAAGATGGAGTGTCATGTTCACAGAACAGCAAGGAGGTTACCACATCATCACTGGAGAGTATTCTCAGGGAGGAGAGAAATGGAAGAAGACTAGAAAAGGGCCCAGGTTATGAAGGGTTTTAAAAGCCAGACCTAACAGTTCTTTTCTTCCTTTCAGGTGGTGCTAAAAGGTGATGCCAAGAAGTTACATTTATATGGGGTGAGTGTATTGGGAAGGGGAGGCCTCAGTTTCCTCATCTGTAAAATGAGTGGGAGAAGGGAATGGCAAACCCTTCCAGTATCGTTACCAAGAAAACCCCAAATGGGGTCACAAAGAGTTGGACGTGACTGAAAAATGACTGAACATGCCTAGTTTCATGAATTGTTCTGATGGGGAAAAAAGTCATTCATCACCTGATGACTAGTTTTCTGGTGATCAGTCTTTCTCCATTTAACTGGAATGGTCCATCACCAAGCTCCCCTTTCTAACTTGGTAGAAACTGCCAGTCTTTTGTGCTCCATTTGGCATAGCCTTAGAGAACACAGTCACTTTCACACCATCATGGAAGCATCAGAGTAGGACTTGAGTGGAGACATTCCTTCATTTATTCAACAAACATTTGTTCAACTCAACAAATAACATATTTAGTAACTGCCATATGCAAGGCCAAGTACAAAGGCCAAAGTGAAATAGTGTCTTTCTTCAAAGAGTTTACATTCTATTTTCTACTTTACATACAGTGCAATGTGCTGAGAGTGATATAGTTTAGATAAGACAGTCTCTGACCTCAGGGAGCTTACAGTCTAGTAGCTTCTGCCTAGTTCAAAACAGTAGGTAAATTTATAAAACTCATTACATGATAAAGTTGGAAATAGATATTAATTCTAAAAGGGTTTTTTGTTTGTTTTTCAGCAGATTTAAGGATAACAGAGCCATTAATAGCTACAAAAAAAGCTGGGCTATCTATATACCTTATCTTTAAGGTTTAAGTCAGTCTTAGCTGTGCCACATCCTTGGAGGTTTGTTTTTTTTTTTTTTTTTTAGTAGAATACTGAGCTAGAACATGATATAGCAGAAAGATCTGGAGTCAGAGGCCTGGGTTTGAATCCCAAATCACTATTTATCACTATGTATGTAATTCTGGGCATGTTATTTCAGTTCTCTGGGGCTCATTTTCCTCATCTATAAAATGAGGAAGTTAGACTAAATGACCTCTACCCCCCCCTTCCAGCTGTAAATCTGTGACCATGGATCAAACCCAACATGACAATTCTTGCTCCCTCCCCTACCCTTTCCCTTAGATCAGTCCTTCTCTCCATCTGATCCCTTACCTTAGATGTTCTCCCCTGGCTAACCCATTTCTGTCTCTTTTCTGCTCCATCTCACCAATAACCATAGGCCAGGTTATTCCTGTATCTATTGCATATGCACACATGCTATTGACTCTAATTTACTGTTTCCAAATCAATCCATCTGTTTACCCACTTTAAGTCACTCTGAAGAAGTTCATAGTTTGCTGAAACATTCTCTTTTGACCATTTTTTTTCCCCTTGGAGGGTGGGCGGTGGTAGAGGAAAGATGAATGATCTGTGTGTCTATAAACAATATACACACAGAGTTCTTCAGGGAGTAGGAGGTGTAACTAGACAGATGGCTGAACAGACAGGACTTCCCCTCACCCCATTCTCTCTTCTCAGTGAGTTCTATTTTGTACTAGCAGTGAGCAAATATCTTCTCCCTTGGCCTCAGTTTCCTCACATGTAAAATGAGAGGGTTAGGTTAAATAGTCCCCAAGGTCTATTCAGGCTCTGAAACCTGTGATCCTAAGTTCACAGATAAGTCTTAAACTCCAAAGGGTAAAGGTGTATTCTTCCAAAAGGGGAGACTAATATGTCCTTAGGCTATACATCTGGCCTCTTATCCTTCCAGGGTAAGTTCAGTAGTTTCCTAGTTGAGGGTAGGGTGCAGGTGGTGGAGCAGGGAATAAAATGCTCTAAGTTTGGGCTGAGCGGAATCTTAAAATTCACATTCTTCTCTCCCCCTCTGTCCACAGCAGACTTGTGCTGTCTGCCTAGAAGACTTCAAGGGGAAAGATGAGCTTGGTGTGCTACCTTGTCAACACGCTTTCCACAGGAAGTGAGTCATCACTATGGGGACCTCTGAGGGTATGTGGGGGGGGTGCCTATTTAGCCAAGATAGACATAGTGCTTCCCAAGCAACCCCCTATTTTCCTCCCCACTGAGATGGAGGATGGAAGACAATGAGGAAACCTGTTTCTCCTACAGTGCTCTTGGCCCTGCCTCCAGCAGGCCTCTGCCTGGTCTGGGATCACTGCCATGCCAGGCAGTCCTGATGGTGGGGAGGGACCAGAAGGACTAGGGCTAGTGTTCTGATACATCCACAGTGTTATGACATGGAGTCAGGAGACATGGGTTCGAACCCTAGCTCTGCCACTTACTATCTGTGTGACCCTTGGCAAGTCAAATAAATACTTGTATTCTGTGTAATAGGTATAATCCAGGAGCTACCTATTTCACAGGTCCCTTGCAGGGAAAGTACTTTGGAAACCTTAAAGGACAACAGAAATGTTAATAAATAACAATAATTAATATTTTTTGCTGGATATTTTGCAGGGCGATGCTGGGAGGCTGGGCCAGGTAGAGAGGAGGGTGGTAGCAGGAAAGAGGAATGGTGGGATGAGGGTGGAAGTTCCTAAGCTAAGCAGTGAAATAAACCTGTGTCTCTACCTGCAGGTGTCTGGTGAAGTGGCTGGAAGTCCGTTGTGTCTGTCCCATGTGCAATAAACCCATTGCTGGCCCCCCAGAGGCCACTCAGAGTATTGGCACTCTCCTGGATGAACTGGTCTGAATACAAACTTTTCCCTAGGACTCGGACATTTAAATGCCAAGTGCCTGCCTGGTCGATTCTTAAAACTGCATGGCCCACAGTGTGGCAGGTGCTCCTTGGAGGCTATCCCTTTAGCTAGAAAGAGAACAGGCAAGCTGGTCCTTGCCCTTCCTTAAGAGGGGGCAAAGTCCAGAGTCTCCTCCTCCTCCTCCTCTCTCCCCTCTACAGTACTTTTGACATCTCCTTCCCTGCTCCTCTACCTTGTAGGTGTCACTCACAGGTCAGGGCTGCTGGGTTGTGGTACCAGACCTTCTGCTTTGTCCCTGGCTGTAGAGAAATTAGGCATCTCCTGACACAATGAAAGGTATGAGTCTGAGCTAAAAAGGATCAGGGGCTATCAGGGAAATCAAGGCCCATTACTCTTCAGGGTGACCAGGACTAGGCAAGTCACTCACCCCACCCAGGCAGAAACTTCATTAGATTCTCACTGTTGCTCCCTGATGTGTGTATGGGGAAGGAGGGCAGAAACAAGCAATGGGGAGGAAGGGATAAAGCAGACCCTGTCCCCCTATTGTTAATTCTCCCTCCCTCTTTCCCCACTTACCTTCAAGCAGGTGTCTGGATGAAAGAAGGGATAGAAGGAGTAAGGCCCAGGTTGGGAGGTGGGGATGGGGGGGTGGTAGATAAAAGGGGAGTTCTGCCTATGGCAGAGATGGTGGAGGGCCAGTAGGCTACCTCCATATTTTTTTTTTAAAGTTAATGTTTACATTGGACCTTCAGAAACAGCAGCTGGCTGGCTGAACTGACAAAATGTAGGAGCAAGCACCCTGCCCAGAGCTGGGATCTGTGGTGCCACCAGCTTCTTAACCTGCCCTTTTCCCCACTTCCCTTAGTTACTCCTAGAGCTCCTTTTCCCACCCTCCTGGGTCCTGAAGGGTTTGGTGCATCTGCCAACAGAAGATGCATTTACTACAACCAAGGTGATTTCCCTGGGGACAGATGAAAGTTGGTGTTTCCTGAAAGGGAAAAAGGGGTACGGGGGTGCAGTGCTGAGGAGGGGAGGAGTCTAGAAACCTTGGTGGGACCAGATGCCCTTTTCTCCTTTGTAAATAGTATTTTTATACCTTAGTCTCCTCACCGTCTCAGGCTCTGTACATGGGACACTTGGGGAGTCCCATTTCTCCCCATAGTGGGTGGGGGGTGGGAAGAAGGGTGTATGTAAAAAAAATAAAAAAATAAAAGCAGATTGTCTAACTCTGTTGTTTCTGTAGGTGTGGTCAGAGCCCATTGGGAGGAGCCAGAATTGTAACTCCTCTGATGATAATTAAGGAAAGACAGAAGCACCCCTTCATCTTAAAGCTGTCTTCATAAAAGAAATTATGCTATTAGCACTAGGGTCACCTGTGTACACTAGAACGAGATTGTCACCAACATCCAATAAGAATTCATAGACATGAAAGATCCATCTATATTGCCTTGTCCTAGAGAAGAACATTGGATTTGGAAGTCAGAAAAATCTAGTGTGAATTCTATCACTTACTGTAATTTGGGCAAGTCACTTAACTGCTCTGATCAATTCATTCCACTATCTATGGTCCCAGCCCCTCAAGACCTGGACAGTCACCAACAGAGTCCATCTTGGGGGACAGGCCCCAAATTACTTCCACTCAAGTTGTGGAAGACATCAGAATATAGCTCATGTCTAGGTCACCACAGATGTGGGGAAGAAGAGTTTCTAGATGCTATGTAATCACTCAAGGTTACAACGGAGACAGGATGATCTTTCCTCCACCTTACCGAAAATGCAAAAATAAAATAAAGGACTCAGAATGGCCCAGAAATAATTTTTCTTTGCTAGTAAGTCCTGACTTTCCCTAGGATTCAAAAGTCCAGAAGCAGGGTGGTACAGTGAGGAACTCACTGGTTTTGTAGTCAGAAGACATAGGTTCAAATCCTTTTTTTTTTTTAAACCTATGTAATCTTCTAGAGGCCTCAGTTTCCTCATTTGCAAAATAAGGGCATTGGATTAGATGACCTCTAAGGTCCCTTCCAGCTCAAAATCTAAGGTCCTCCAGAATGAGCACTACCCTATAGTTTGAATTCTTCAGAAAAGAAAAGAACTTGGAAGTTTCTAAGGAGGTTAATACCTCCTGTTCCAGTGAGTCCTTATCATAGCACTATTAGCATTCATACTACCCTCTGAAAGGAAACAAATGGGGTTTTGAGAGAGATGGGTGTTATTCCCCATCCCCTCAGACCTGCACTATTCAAATAACCCAAATTCATAATTTCAGTGGGCAAATTTCAGGGGTTTTTTTTTGCTTCCCCAAATTATGGTTTAGAAAACTGCTCTGCTCATTTAGGGGGGTTCTCACTTGTAATTTCTCTACAAGAGTCTGGTACTGCCCAGGAATACCCTTTTTCTCAGTAATAGTCTCACTCATCAAACTTTCAGACTTGGGCTTGCAACTGGTATAACTCCTAAGGCTGGAAGAGCCACAGAAAATTCCCTTTTATCACTAGGATGGCAAAAGTGGCCCATTTGCTGTTTCACAAACAGTATTATAAATCAGTCCTCATGCCTTTGAACAGGCTGTCCTTCCCTCATGCCTGGAATGCATTACTTCCTCAACTCTGCTTCTTAGAACCCCTAATATCTTTTGTTAAGCTCAACTCAGGGGTCATCTCATTTGCAAAACCTTTCCTGATTCCAACTGAATTTTTAAGCCTAACACCTTGGTAAGAAAAAGGGAAGCAATAAGGACTGGAGCTGTTGAGGGTGGGGTGGGGAGGGAGAGAGGGAAAGGGAATGGGGGGGAGAGAAAGAAAGAGGGAGAGGGGGGATGGATCTGGAGCTCTTCCCCACTCAGACCCCAATGTTCTCCCTCTCCAAGATGCCTATGCCACAGCCTCCCCAAGACTGGGACCAAGGCTTTGGAATAATAATGGCTAACATTTATTTAGCACTTTAAAGGTTGCAAAGCTCTTTATGTTATCTCATTTGATCCTCACAACAACCCTGTGACAATTATCCCCATTTTACAGAAGAAGGAAAAAATGGAGAATGATAGAGGTTAAATGACTTGGCCAGCATTACACAGTAAGTGTCTGAAGCAGGATTTGAACTCAGGGCTTTCTAACTCCAAGTCCAACTTGCACTATTCACTATACCACCTAGTTGCACTCTCCTGGGTTGGGGGGCAGAGCATGATCACATACACCAAGTTTCCTTGTGTCTCTGCCCTAAGGGGCCATTTTTGTAACCAAGACTCAGTCATGCTTTGATCTGTCCTAGGAAAGGAGGGGAAAAAAAAGGAAAAGGGATAAAAAGGACTGTGTCTACCATTGAAGACTTCTTTTTATAAGTCAGCCAAAGGGATCCCACTGGAGGCAACCAATTCATACTGAGACAGCCTCCAGGAGGCCTAAGTATTTCCATACCATCTATCAGAAGATAAGATTAAAAATTTCAAAGGCCACACCACTGTGGTTAAGCTCAGTCAATTGATCAAGAACTCCTCCTGTCAATCCTCCAAATTCACAGTTAGTAAGCACCTATTCTCTGAGCTGGGGGAGATAAAATAAGATCCAATTCTCTGCCCTCATCAAGCTTATAGTGTATAAGGAAGATATATACAGACAAATAAAATATTACATAATATGTGCCTTTTTTTCTTTGGTACCAGGATTGTGCTGGAGATGGCTGTAAAAGACTCAGGAGAGCCTATTGTTAAATTTCCAGTAGGAGCATTTATACTTTTGAAAGCAGCAAATGCTACAAATGACAGCTTGATTTAATGTTTTATGGATTGTATAGACTGAAGAAAGTGATAGAAAAACTGTTAAAAATGCAGATTAAACTTAAAACTGTGTCATGGGAACTTTTTTTTTTTTGGAGAGCTGGTTGTTAAACCTTTACCAGCACACTGCTATCTGATACGGAACTGTGATTTCCTCTGTGCTGGGAACTCTGTGTGTAGAAATCCCCCCTCACTTCCTCAGTATATAAACTTCCCTCCTCCTCATGCAGATCTGCAGCTGATCTAGAACTGAGAAGCTAAGTGACTTGTCTTGGGTCACACAGCTAGTGCATGTCAGCAGCAGGTCTTTCTGACTCCAAGCACAGCCCTCTAGCCTCCATACCATGCTGCTTATTGACAAGTGCATTAGAAAGCAACAGGGAAAAAGAGTTATATGAAGTTCAAGGGGAAAATGGATCAGGAAGATAGGTGCTTTAAAGGTGAGAGTAGGAATTCAACAAATAACCAGGAGAAAACATGAACACAGGGAGAGCGTTTTGAACACAGGATATATGCTGGGAGGCGGAGGAGAAATGGGAGAGGATAGAGAATAGTCCAGTTTAGATGGAGCATTAAATACATAGAGGACTACAGTATGAAACAGAACTGAAAGGAAACAAAAGGGATCCTTTCAGAGAAACCTCGGAAGACTTGTATCAACTGACACCAGGGAAGTGAACAGAATCAGAACAATGTAGAATGACAACAACGTTGCAAAGACAAACAACTTAAGCTTAAGACCTATGATCAATTTCAATGACAATCCATGATTCCAAAGGACCAATAATGTAAAATGAGACATACAACTTGGGCTAATACAAGATTTTTTTTTTTGCTTGATTGTGCATATTGATTAAAATGATTTTGCTTTTTTTTTCTTTTTCTCAATAGGAAGAAGTGAGAGAGAAAAACAAAGTTTGTTCATTTAAAATAAGGGTTTTTTTTTTAAATGCTGGAGAGAAAAAGATGGGAATAAGCATTTATTATGCACCTACTATGTGCCAGGTACTGTGCTAAATGTTTTACAAATATTTCATTTGACTCTCACAACAATCCTGTGAGGTAGGTGCTTATTATTATCTCTATTTTACAGTTGAGGAAACTGAGGCAGACAGATGTTAAATGGCATGCCCAAGGTCACACAAACTAATAAATGTGACTTCAGTCTGCCTAACTTCAGGTCCAGCCCTTTATCCATTGTAACACCTAACTCCCTCAGTTTCCTCATCCTAAAGCGAAACTAATGAAATTTGCTCTGTGTCTCTTAGAGAGAGGATATATGTGCTCACACTAAAACCTGTAAATATAAAGAATTGTTATTAATTTTTCCAATTCCCCAGAGAAAGGCTAAGATAAGGTTTGTAGGACAGCCACAGATAAGGAAACAGGCACAGATTAGTAAAGTGATTTTCCAGAGGTCACAAAGACTAGTCAGTAGTGAAGCCTAGACAGGAATTCTGGCTTCCACAACTTTAATACTTTGCCATCTAGTACTCCAGGTGAAGGAAGAGAACAGGGAGTTAAGAACCTCTAAGGTTTGAGATTCCAAACTGTCAAAAGATTCTCTTCTCTCCTAACTCTATATATCTCCTTTCTCACGGGCTGGTCTGTAACCTACCCTTAGAGCATCACCAAACAAACCCAGAAAGCCTTGGAATGTCTCAATACTTTCTCTCCTTTCAAGTTGCTTCATTCCTCCCAGGGACTAAATATCTATGACATTCTACAAATATCCTTTAATCAACCAATCCATCTGAGAATGTCCACAAAATTCTCAGAAATCATTTATGTCTTCTAGGAACATGTTATGGTAGTTACTAATTTTTTTTTTTTTTGAGAATTTGGAGAGAGTAGGTCTCTTCAATGACTGGGAAAGGGATGCATGTGATTTCTATCATAATTAACTAGTGTTTATATATAGACATTTGCAGTTTACAAAGTGCTACAAATATATTATTCTACTTTGATTGTTAACCACCCTGTGAGGCAGGTAGTGCATATATTATTTTCTGTATTTTGCAGCAAAAGAAACTAAAGCACAGTCTAAGTTGACTTCTTCAAGGTAACAAAGCAAATTTGCATTAAAGCTTAAACAGGAATTCAGGTCTTCTGTCTCCAGTTCTAAGGTTATTTCCACTACACCACAGTTGTCCTGACTTACTAATGAAATTGTTTGGCACCATCCATCCATCCATCCTTCCTTCCTTCCTTCCTTCCTTTCCCCTGCCATCCCTACATCTGAAGCCCAACCACCCCCTTTGCCTTCCTGATTGCCACTCCATTTTCTTTTGTTCTCACAGCGCCACTCATCTCCTAGTTAGTTCTGATGGAGCCCTTCCCTCTCTGCCTCTTTCTATCTCCACTTGAGTCCTCTTCTATTTGCAGTTGGGTGTATGCACAGTAGCATCAAAGGATGGATAGACTTCTATTAAAGATTATTGAAA